TATCTTCTTCTTGGATTGATCCTTTGATCATTACGTAGTGTCCTTCTTTGTCTCTTTTCACATCCTTTATTTGAAAGTCTATTTTATCTGATATGAGTATTGCGACTCCTGCTTTCTTTTGTTCTCCGTTTGCGTGAAATATTTTTTTCCAGCCCTTCACTTTTAGTCTGTATGTGTCTCTTGTTTTGAGGTGGGTCTTTTGTAGACAGCATATATAGGGGTCTTGTTTTTGTATCCATTCAGCCAATCTTTGTCTTTTGGTTGGGGCATTCAACCCATTTACATTTAAGGTAATTATTGATAGGTATGGTCCCGTTGCCATTTACTTTGTTGTTTTGGGTTCATGTTTATACAACCTTTATGCATTTCCTGTCTAGCTATAAATGATATTCTTCACAGAACTAGAACAAATAATTTCACAATTTGTATGGAAATACAAAAAGCCTTGAATAGCCAAAGCAATCTTGAGAAAGAAGAATGGAACTGGAGGAATCAACCTGCCTGACTTCAGACTCTACTACAAAGCCACAGTCATCAAGACAGTATGGTACTGGCACAAAGACAGAAATATAGATCAATGGAACAGAATAGAAAGCCCAGAGATAAATCCACAAACCTATGGACACCTTATCTTCAACAAAGGAGGCAAGGATATACAATGGAAAAAAGACAACCTCTTTAACAAGTGGTGCTGGGAAAATTGGTCAACCACCTGTAAAAGAATGAAACTAGAACACTTTCTAACACCATACACAAAAATAAATTCAAAATGGATTAAAGATCTAAATGTAAGACCAGAAACTATAAAACTCCTAGAGGAGAACATAGGCAAAACACTCTCTGACATAAATCACAGCAGGATCCTCTATGACCCACCTCCCAGAATATTGGAAATAAAAGCAAAAATAAACAAATGGGACCTAATGAAACTTAAAAGCTTTTGCACAACAAAGGAAACTATAAGTAAGGTGAAAAGACAGCCCTCAGATTGGGAGAAAATAATAGCAAATGAAGCAACAGACAAAGGATTAATCTCAAAAATATACAAGCAACTCCTGAAGCTCAATTCCAGAAAAATAAATGACCCAATCAAAAAATGGGCCAAAGATCTAAACAGACATTTCTCCAAAGAAGACATACAGATGGCTAACAAACACATGAAAAGATGCTCAACATCACTCATTATCAGAGAAATGCAAATCAAAATCACAATGAGGTACCATTACACACCAGTCAGGATGGCTGCTATCCAAGTCTACAAGCAATAAATGCTGGAGAGGGTGTGGAGAAAATGGAACCCTCTTACACCGTTGGTGGGAATGCAAACTAGTACAGCCGCTATGGAGAACAGTGTGGAGATTTCTTAAAAAACTGGAAATAGAACTGCCATATGACCCAGCAATCCCACTCCTGGGCATACACACCAAGGAAACCAGATCTGAAAGAGACACATGCACCCCAATGTTCATAGCAGCACTGTTTATAATAGCCAGGACATGGAAGCAAAAGATGCATAACAGCAGACGAATGGATGAGGAAGCTGTGGTACATATACACCATGGAATATTACTCAGCCATTAAAAATAATTCATTTGAATCAGTTCTAATGAGATGGATGAAACTGGAGCCCATTATACAGAGCGAAGTAAGCCAGAAAGATAAAGACCATTACAGTATACTAACACATATATATGGAATTTAGAAAGATGGTAATGATAACCTTATATGCAAAACAGAAAAGAGACACAGATGTACAGAACAGACTTTTGGACTCTGTGGGAGAAGGCGAGGGTGGGATGTTTCAAGAGAACAGCATGAACATTATCTATAGTGAAACCGATCACCAGCCCAGGTGGGATGCATGAGACAAGTGCCCGGGCCTGGTGCACTGGGAAGACCTAGAGGAATCGGGTGGAGAGGGAGGTGGGAGTGGGGATTGGGATGGGGAATACATGTAACTCCATGGGTGATTCATGTCAATGTATGACAAAACCCACTGCAATGTTGTGAAATGGTTGGCCTCCAACTAATAAAAATAAATGAAAAAAAAAAAGAAAAAAAAAACCTGTTAAATGTGAAAAAAAAAAAAAGAAAAATGGCTGGGATGGGATGGGGAGGGAGGTGGGAGGGGGCTTCAGGATGGGGAATATATGTACACCCATGGCTGATTCATGTCAATGTACGGCAAAACCGCTACTATACTGTAAAATAATTAGCCTCCAATTAAAATAAATAAATTAATTAAAAAAAGAAAAATGGCTGAACAGTAAAAATTAGGAGTAAGCAGAATTTTAATTTGTAATTTAATTAGAAAACACTCATTTTCCTTGCCTTTTAATTTTTGAGAGGTTTTTGGCCTCTTCTTTCTGCAATTCTTTTTCCTCTTGATGATGCTTTTCACATCTTCTATCTTGCAAAGATTTTCAAAAAAGGAGCCTCCAAGTTTGCTGCCAAAGGGGAGAAGCAGAGGGGGATGGGCAGATTTTCATGGCCCATTTCTGGAATAGTATAAATTACTTTCATTTACACTCCAGGGCCAAAAGGAAGTCACCTGACTCCAACTTAATGGCAAAGGTAAGAAAAATATAAATCATCTATGTGCCCAGTGGGAAGAGAGAATGGGTTTAGTGACCACATCCCTTCTTTGTCATAATATCATGGACTCAGCCTGGAAATAACCCTGACCTCATAGTTTGAAGAAGGAACTCAAAAAAGTAAATGAAAATTGCAAAACAGTGGGATGAACTTTGGTGGCAACATAATCAGAGACCTAAAAATTTCTTCTGTGACCCACTGGTGAGTATGCAGGAGTGCCTTTTAAAAAATGCTAAAAAGATGTTTTTCAAATCAACACATTTGCACTGATTTTAAAAAATTGAATAATACTGAAAGGGTGGGTGGGACCCTTAATCTGTTTACTTCTGTGCTACATCACTTGTATGTGACAAATACAGACCCCACCATCCATAATCAAGTGGGCCCTCTGCCCCAGCCCTGGTCCATGTCATGAGAAAAGGGTATGGGCTACATTACTTTAAAAATCTTGTCTATGGTTCCAAAAGTGAAATAGTAAATGTATGGATTTTTTTAAAAAACAACTTTAAAGCACCTATTGTTTTTTTAGCTATTTTGAACTTGTAAGATTTTTACTTTATTTTTTTCCCCACACCACATGGTAAGTGGGATCTTAGTTCCCCCTCCAGGGATGGAAACCATGCCTCCTGCATTGGGAGCATGGAATCTTAACCACGGAACCACTAGGGTAGTCTCCAGATTTTTACTTTTAAAAATTCAAAAACTGGTTGTCAGACTTATTGAGCCACGTTTAAACTATTATCATGGCTTCTCTGGTGGCTCACCAGTAAAGAATCTGCCTGCTGGATTCATATCAATGTATGGCAAAACCAACATAATATTGTAAAGTCATTAGCCTCCAATTAAAAAAAAAAAAAAAAGAATCCGCCTGCCCATGCAAGAGTGCAGGTTCAATTCTTGGGTCCAGGAGATCCCCTGGAGAAGAAAATGGCAACCCACTCCAGGATTCTTTTTTTTTTTTTTTCCACTCCAGGATTCTTGCCTGAAGAATCCCAGGGACAGAGAAGCCTGGTGGGCTATAGTCCATGGGGTTGCAAAGAGTCGGACAAGACTGAACGACTAAGCACAGCACAGTCACTCAATCATTGTCGCTTGAGTGATGATAAATATCTGTTTCAGGATTCTAGAGAACGGGAGAGGGGTGCTCTGACTGGGACAGTGAGGGACGATTTTATGGTGGCATCTAAATTCAACCTTGCAGGATGGATTGAGTTTTGCTGGGAGGGCTGAGAGCAGGGGGCATTTCTGGCAGAGTCACCACAGAGAGCAAGGAAACAAAAGAGAACATGTTGTTTTGGAGGAACCGTGAAAAGACAGTATTAAGTAACTGACTTTACATAACATTGCATTGTCTCCTCAAAGAGCTCAGAGAACAGCTGTGATTGACCAGGTGCTCGGTCAGGAAGGAAAGTCTCATTTCACCCCTCATTTCTTTTCAGCTGCCATTGTTGTGAACCAAAGCCTTAATCTGGAGACACCTGGCTCACAGCCCAGGTGGTCTGCGCTCACCGTTTCACTCTACTGAGCTGGCAAGACAACCAGCCAAAGCACCCAGCGAAACCACACACACAGCCCTTAGGGCTGGCATGGCTTTACTCCAATAGTTCTTTGAGATCGTCAAGACTCTGAAACAAAATCTCAAGAGTATCAAAGAAAAGGGGGGAATGGTAACCCAGCAGGGCCCTCTGGGGCCTTCTCAGGACAGACTGGTCCCCCATACCCTCTGCTTTAGCGCTTCTCTGAAGTACCCAGATAATAGTATCTGATACACTTTTCCTGAATTGTTTCACAGATGTGAAAACTCCTTATCAGATGGAAGATGTTACCTACTGGATGATCAGGGGCTCATAGCCCCAGGCCTCCTGGAGCCCCAGTTCAGTTGCTGAGTTGTGTCCTCCTCTTCACGACGCCATGGACCGCAGCAGCCAGGCTTCCCTGTCCATCACCAAATCCCGGAGCTTACTCCAACTCATGTCCATTGAATTGGTGATGCCATCCAACCATCTCATTCTCTGTTGTCCCCTTCTGCTCCTGCCTTCAATCTTTCCCAGTGTCAGGGTCTTTTCCAGTGAGTCAGTTCTTTGCATCAGGTGGCCAAAATATTGGAGTTTCAGCTTCAGCATCAGTCCTTCCAATGTATATTCAGGGCTGATTTCCTTTAGGATGAAGGATCTCCTTGAAGAAGGAGATCTCCTTGATGTTGGATCTCCTTGAAGTCCAAGGGACTCTCAAGAGTCTTCTCCAACACCACAGTTCAAAACCCTAAGGACTTTAGAAGCCTAAGTCCTGGGGCCTAAGGACTGGTAAGGTTAACCCTTGTGACACCACCCTGTTCCCTCATCATCAGCCAATTAGAGAATTACGCATGATCTGATCACATACCCTGCAACCCTCCCCACACTCACCTGACTTTTTAAAATGCTTTGCTGAAACCCTTCGGGGAGCTCAAGGCTTCTTAGGGCATGAATCAACTTGTCTCTTTGCATGGCCTTGCAATAAATCTTCCTCTGATAAAACAAAAAAACCAAACAAAAAGTAAATAAACAAACAAAAAACCAAAAAAAATGCTCGACAGAGAAGTCAAAAGCTTCTGTGGCCACCACAAGTAATGAGAGCAACAGGAAAGATCATACTGGGGTCAAAACATAGGCCAGAACCCTTAGCATCTGTGTTGCCTCTTTTGCTTCCCCCAACTCCATCTAAATGACAGAATAAGTGGGAAAATAAAAGCTACATTAAAAATAAATTCAGCTTTTCACAAAGATGGTGCCAAAGGCAAAGAAGGAAGCCCCTGCCCCTTCCAAAGCCTAAGCCAGAGCAAAGACTCTGAAGGCCAAGACAGCAGTGTTGAAAAGCATCCGCAGCCACAAAAACTGTGGCAAAGGTTCACAAAAAAGGTGGCCGAAAACACTACAGCTCAGGAGGTGGCCCAAATACCCTTGGAAGACAGCCCCTAGAAGAAATGAACTCGACCTCTATGACATCATCAAAGTCTCCCTCAGTCTGAGTTGGCCAGGAAGAAAATAGAAGACCACACACACTGGTATTAATTCTGGCTATCAAGACCAACAAGCACCAGATTAAACAGGCTGGGAAGAAGCTCTATGACTTCTTCCCATCATCTATGATGTGGCTAAGGTCAACACCCTGATCAGGCCTGATGCAGAGAACAAAACTGGCTTCTGACTAGGATGTTTTGGCTGTTGCCAACAGAACTGGGATCATCTAAAAGTCACTGCAGATGGTGACTGCAGCCATGAAATTAAAAGATGCTTACTCCTTGGGAGGAAAATTATGACCAACCTAGATTGCATATTAAAAAGCAGAGACATTACTTTGCCAACAAAGGTCCATCTAGTCAAGGCTTTGGTTTTTCCAGTGGTCATGTATGGATGCGAGAGTTGGACTGTAAAGAAAGCTGAGCACTGAAGAATTGATGCTTTTGAACTGTGGTGTTGGAGGAGACTCTTGAGAGTCCCTTGGACTGCAAGGAGATCCAACCACTCCATCTTAAAGGAGATCAGTCCTGGGTGTTCATTGGAAGGACTGATGCTGAAGCTGAAACTCCAATACTTTGGCCACCTCATGCAAAGAGTTGACTCATTGGAAAAGACCCTGATGCTGGGAGGGATTGGGGGCAGGAGGAGAAGGGGACGACAGAGGAAGAGATGGCTGGATGGCATCACTGACTCGATGGGCATGAGTTTGAGTAAACTCTGGGAGTTGGTGATGGACAGGGAGGCCTGGTGTACTGCGATTCATGGGGTCGCAAAGAGTTGGAAACGACTGAGCGACTGAACTGACTGAAACCGAGTCCAGCTGGCTAATTCGAAATATAAAGTTTTCACTATTAAAAAAAAAACTTATAGTAACAGTAAAGGATCAGAAAAGATGACAGAAAGCTGACCATAAGGCAAGAAATTTCTGTTCTATATAATGGACCTTTGTCAATTTGATGGCAAAGCACAAAGTGGCTGAAAAACTTATATCCTTACATAGGTGATGGAGAAGATCATTGAGAAAACATTTTTTTCAGCAGGACCCTGGGTAAGCCAAAGATCAGTTGGGAGGTGTTGGGAGAAGAATCTTGGGCCCAAAAAACAAGTTAAGGACCTTGCCAGTCCCCACTTTTGGACAGTCAGGGGTTTGACCCAGGATGAAGCTGGAAGCACAGTTCTCTAAATAAAGAAGGGTATCTGCTATGGGAGTCTTCCAGAGGGGACCATGGGCCAGAGAGAGAGTTGGGCATCAGTTATTTCTATTACCTCCTTCCAACTGGCTGACCCATTCCTCTGTGTCATTTAGTCTACTGTTGATTCCTTCTAGTGTATTTTTCATTTTATTTGTTGTATTTGTCACCTCTTTTGGGGTTTTCTTTTTTACTTTCTAACTCTTTGTTGAAGACTTCTAACTTCTCGCTCTCTGCATCCATTCTTCTCCCAAGTTCTTTGATCATTGTTATGATCACTGGGCTTCCCAGGTGGTGCTAGCGCTAAAAAGAACCTACCAGCCAATGCAGGAGACTCCGGTTAGATCCTGGGTGGGGAAGATCCCTTGGAGGAGGGCATGGAAACCCACTCCAGCATTCTTGCTGAAAAATCTGATGGACAGAGGAGCCTGGAGGGCTGCGGTCCATAGGGTAGCAAAGAGTCAGACACCACTGAAGCAACTTAGCACACAAGCATGCATGATTGCTACCCTGAACTTTTTCTCAGGTAGATTGCCTATTTTCACTTCACTTAGTTCTTTTTAATTTTTTTCACCACTTCACCTAGTTCTTCTTCTGAGGTTTAATCTTGTTCCTTCATCTGGAGCATGTTCTTCTGGCATCTCATTTTGCCTAAGTTGCTGTTTATATTTTTATGCATCTGGTATCTAGGTTGTATTTCTTAACCTTGGAGAAACGGCTTTCTACAGGAGATGTCCTGTGCATCCCAGCAGTGCACACCCCTCTTGTGGTCCAAGCTGCATGCTCTGGGGACTCCCCCCATGAGGGCTGTGTGGTTCCTTTTGTTGTGGCGGGCTATGTGGGTAGTTTGATAGGCTTGGTTGACCCTGGTCTGTTTATTTACCAGGCACTTACTTGTATAGAGGCTGTTGGTTGCTGGTTACTGGGGCCTGGTCACAGGGCAGCGGATGGCAGAACTCCAGGGGTCCTGGAGCTAGAGCTGGCTCCCTGGTGGGTGGACTCAAGACTAGAAGACTCTGTGGCTGTGGCCCACCTACTGGTGGTAAAGCCAGGTCCTGGGCTTAGTGCCAGAATACTGGCAGGGAGAGCTGAGTCCTGGAGTCTGGTTGCAGGGCTTAGGGGTCCCAGAGTTGGTGTCAGATCGTTATTGCTGGTGAGGCAGCGTGGTTTCTGACACAGTTGGGTACAAGTTCAGGTTGTCCCAAAGCTTGTGTCAGCCTACCAGTGCTCAGGACCGAGGCCCAGATGGTCCGAAAGTATGGTCTGGCCTCCTGGTGGACAGATTTGTTCTGTAAGCCGTGGGGTTGCCCACTGGTGGGTGGAGCTGGATTCTGGGCCTTTGGGTGGGTTGGGTCATGTCCAGAGGCAACTGTGTGCTCTTAAGGCAGCCTGTCTACTGATGGTGAGGGAGGCTGTGTTCCTGCCCAGTTAGTTGCTTGGCGTGAGACAGTCCAGCACTGGTTCCTACAAGATGTTGGACCAGGAAGGGCTGGATCCAGGGGCAATAAGCTAGAGGGAGGATTCCACAGTGGTGCCCACCAGCAAGGTGTCTATGTGGCAGTAGGAGTTCCCAAGGACAGCTGTTGCCACGGTCTGTGTCCCCAGGGTGAGCTGTAGTTGACTCCTGCCTCTTGGGGAGACTCTCCAAGATCAGCAGGTAGGTTTGATCCCAGGCTCCTATCAAATACTGCTTTTGCTCTGAGTCATAGAGGCTGCATGATTTTGTGTGTGTTCTATTTAAGAGTGAAGTTTCTATTCCTCCAGTTCTCTGGGACTGCCAAAATTAAGCCCTGTTGCTGTTGTTTAGTCGCTCAGCCATGTCCGACTCTTTGTGAGCCCGTGGACTGCAGCATGCCAGGCTTCCTTGGGCTTCCCTGTCCATTGAGTTTGCTCAAACCCATGTCCTTTGAGTCAGTAATGCCATCCGATTATCTCATCCTCTGTCGCCCCCTTCTCCTCCTGCCCTCAACCTTTCCCAGTATAAGCCCTGCTGGCTTTCAGAGCTAAATGCTTTGGGGGCTTATGTTCCCAGTGCAGGGGCCCTGGGCTGGGGAGCCTGAAGTGAAGCTCAGACCTCTCACTCCTGTGGGAAAATCTCTGCAGTGTAAGCACTCTCCAGCCTGTGGGCCACCCACGAGGGTGAATGTGCGTGTATGCTCAGTCCTGTCCAACTCTTTGCGGCCCCATGGACTACAGCCTGCCAGGCTCCTCTGTGCATGGAATTCTCCAGGCAAGAATACTGGAGTGGTTTTCCATTTCCTACTCCAGAGGATCTTCCCGACCCAGTGACTGAACGTGAGTCTCTTGCTTCTCCTGCATTGGTAGGTGGATTCCTTACCACTAGCGCCATCTGGGCAACCCACCAGGGAATATGGGACTTGATATATCATGAGTCTGCTCTACCCCAGCACCATATTATTGTGATTCGTCTTTTAACATCTTTAGTTGTAAAAGATATTTCCTTGTTGGTAGGTTCTGTTTGTTTTTCTTTTTTTCCATTGATAGTTGTTCTGCAAGTACTGGGTTGGCCAAAATGTTCATTTTGGTTTTTCTATACAATCTTATGGAAAATCTGAACAAACTTTTCAGCCAAGTTGTGATTTTGGTGTGATCATGAGAGGAGGTGAGTTCAGGGCCTTTCTACTCTGGCAACTTGGCCTGGGAAAAAATCTTAAACTTTTTTTGAATTAAAAAAAAATGTTGTTTTTTAGAATTCAGTTCTTTATTTCTGAATTTTTTGTGAGAGTTGATTAAGATTTACTAATTATAAATAGAAATGCATATGCTTTAATAGATATGAATCTAAAATTGATATTAACTTTAGTTTTAAGTGTTTTCCTAATGTCCTTTAACTTTAGAGAAAATATCTTTTAGGAAATTATATCTGGTAAGAAAAAAAATCCAAAGCGTAGCATTAAGGCAAAAGGATGAGTATAGGCCTTTCAATGTCATATTGGAACACTGTCTGAAGGACTCACCCAGGATTCCTTAATCTGTATGGGGAATGTACATTTGATTGATGGTCTATATATTGTTGACCAGCACCCAGAATTTATGAAATTGCTTGTTGACTGAGACTGGTTTGTAATTTTATTGTTAAGCACAGATCCAAAGGATTGCTGTCTAGTAGAAAAGATAATCCCCAAAGTTACAGCTTTATTGCCGTCTAGGATTTGAATTTGTTTTTCTCTAACAAACATTTCAGAATGCCATCTCCAATAACTATATAAGCCTCTGTTCCTCAGATGATCTTTGAATCAGTTTAGTGATTAATGGGTTAAATACACACACTAAGTCTGTATTTCAAGGTCATGTTTTCAGCTTAAAAAAGTTTACACTATGATGTCTTGTTTAGACACCACCCCCGCAAACCCCGCACCCCCGCCCCCCCAACCACGAATCCAAAGTTCGGCAATTCCTACACAATTTTTTCCCTCTAAAAGTTTGAGTGAAGTCAAATTGGATACTCTTGATAAATGTGTTGCTTTTGTAACCAGAACAGAACAGTAACTGTTGCTTTTTAAAAAGTAATTCAGGCCAGGGCCCTCCAATGAGGACGGTGGGGCAAGAGAGACGGAGCAGAGGGGGCCCGCTCCAGGCGCCCCCGCTCAACCAATAGCGATCTCAGGTCCTCGACGGCTGACCCCAGCCTCAGCTCCGACTTGCATTTCTGAACTCCCTCATTGTTAGGATCAGCGCAGACACGCTGCCCGCTCTTGGTGATGAAGCTGAGGAGAAGGTGGGGGAAAGATTACAAACAGAAGGGGGTTCAGCAAATGCGGGAGGGGAGCCCCGTCCTCCCTGCGTCTAGGGCCCCCGACAGCCCAGCCAGTTCTTCCCTTTCTCTGCTGCGGGAGTTCAGAGCAGCTTCTCTCCGAGCCCCTGCCTCAGGGCCTCAGAGAGTTTCCTCGGCAGCCTCCCTCCTGCTCCCGCCTTCCTTCCCTAGCTTCCCTCTTCCCTGGGAGCATCTCATACCTGGTGCCCTGCAGGATCCTACTGAGGACACATGTTTCTGCTGACCCGGCAGGATCCAGAGGGTGGGACTTTCTTGGACATCTATTGCTGGGGTCCCACCCCTTCCCGTCTCCACTCTGCCCCCAGAAACGGCCGTTGAGCTTGGCGCACTTACATGACAGCTGGCTGGGAGCACGCGCTGCTCGTGTCTATATAATTTTTCATGAATACACATCGGATGTTTCGCTGGGTGTAAGACGTGCAGCAGTCCGTGGGCCGGTGAAAGCCTGCTACAAGAGAAAGCGTCACTCAAGGGCTGAGTGGGAGGAAAACTTGCGGAAGGAAACGGCAACCCGCGCCTATATTCTTGCCTGGGAAACCCCATGGGCGGAGGAGCCTGCGGGCTACAGTCCTTGGGGTTGCAAAAGAGTTGGACCCAACTTAGCAACTAAACAAACAAAACTGATGAAAACGGCATCCTTTCCCCCTTTCCTCCCACGTACTGGGAAGAGTGAGAAGGTGCAGGCTTTAAAAAAACTAATTATCTTTGGCTGTGCTAGCTCTGTGTTGCCGCACACGGACTTTCTCCAGTTACAGCGAGCCGGGATACTCCTCCTTGCAGGGCGGCATGTGGAATCTTCCTGGAGCAAGGATGGAACACGTGTGTCCTGCATTGGCAGGCGGGCTCTTAACCGCTGGACCACCAGGATAGTCCTGAAGGTTCAGGACTGGAAAGGGACGTCTTCCTCCTCTTCCGGCAATTGCTGGCCTCTTCTTGCCAGAGACGTTTCGTTCTCCCCAGGGCTGAGCTTATGTGTCTGAGGGCATCCAGGCAGGGCCACGACAGAGCAGAATTCCTCCCAGAAGAAGGAGAGCCTGAGGCCTGCAGGAAGGCGTCAGAGAGCACCCTTCGCCTCTCTGGCCAGTGAGCCAACTCTTCGGACAGCCAGGTGGAATAGAGTCCATCTCTGAAAGAGGCCATCTATGGACCCACAGCCCATCCTAAACTTCCTTGGAGATATTCACCACCCTCAGGACCCCCCTCAGGGCCTGTAAACGAGGTGTATTGAAGCCTTTGAGCCAATCTGTACCTGCCAGCTGTTTTAAATATATGCCATAACAAAACTTTACCTCTGTGAGGAAATGAGTGTCGATCCAGGTTTGGTCTTGAGAGTTCAAGGTTCAGGTTTGACACCATGTCTTCTATTTGAGAGAAACAGTAGAGAAGGGAAGAAAAATTACTGGGAAGCAGCATTGTTTCAACATCTCCATCTCTTTCATTCCTCAACTCCATCTCCTGCCAGGGAGGCAAGGATACTGAACCATTGGGCCAGATCTGCCTCCAAGCCCATTTTCTCTATCAGGGCCCTGAGACTTTTCAGGGAACTTTTGAAAACGTTTGAGACAGGAAAACATTCTACTGACTTTGAACACAAAAAGCTAACTGCACATCCAACACGAGTAGACCAGCTGAATAGCTCCATAATATGATCCAATGCACCATGCTTTCTACACATTTCTGTAATTCACAGGGCTCTGGAAACAGTAAAAATTTTTCTATAACTGATTTGGTGACACAACGTCACCCAAAGTGAAGTGAGGCTATTTACAGGCTTTATTTACTTCATTAGTATGTATACTGACATGTGTTTGCTGCAGAAATATGGCTGTGTTCGGTTAACATGTGTTTCTCAGACTCTGCCAGGGATGTTAAGTAGTGTCCAGGTATGTGTTACCTTTTAAAAAATACATTCTTTTAGAATGTGATAGAATGTACATAATGCAAAGTTTACAATTTAAAAAATTACTAAAATATTTCTTTATTTGAATAAGGTCACTGTCATTTCTTGAATTCCAGCTAACATCAAACTAACAATCAGAAAAAAAAAACACCTGACAAAATGTTATCCAACTGATATTAACAATAGATAGAAAACCCTTTTAAACTTTAAAAGAAATATATTAAACAGGCAACATCCAGATCTAAAAAGTTGCAAGTAGTGATTTTACATTAGATCTTATAAATAAAAACATCTCCAACATAATCATTTGTTCACTATCTCCCTGGGATCAGAACATGGATAGGAAAAGATAATCACATCTGAATATTCACAACTGTCATTTATGATCTTTGCAAAGATTGCATGTCTACAATGCAGTGGGTCAGGCAGTTTTTCAGGTAATTTTTGTTTTCCTCAAATTATCAAAAAGTACAATTATCTGAGATAAAATGTCAGAAAAATCACAATCAGGGAAAGCAAAAGCTCTAGCAGGCAGACTTGAAGATGGGGGTATTCATGGCTTGACCATGAACTGGAGGTGATTTTGTACATTTAAGAGCTGTCAACCGAAGTACCAAGGGCTATAGGCAGCAATCTAGGTTTACTCTGTAGTTGCTAATAAACCAAGAGTTTATTAGCACATACATAATGTAAATAACATAAACTTTACAATTTTAATCATCTCGAAGTGTGCAGTTCAATAGCATCAAGTACCTCCTCATATTGTGCAGCTTACCACAATCTTGAACTTTTTTCATCTTGAAAGCTGAAACTTTTTTCATCTTGAAAGCTGAAACTCTGTACCCATTACACAATAGCTCCCCATTTCCCCCTTCCCTAAACCCTGAGCCACTGCCATTCTACTTTCTCTCTGAATTTGACTATTTTAAGTACTTCATAGGAGTGGAATCATATTATTTGTCCTTTTGTGACTGGCTTATCTCACCTATCATCATGTCTTCAATGTTTATCCATGTTGTAGCACATGTCAGAATTCCCTTAATTTTTAAGGCTGAATAATACTCCATAGTGTACACACACACACACACACATACACACACACTCTGTTTTTCAATCCATTCATTTGTCAATGGACACTTGGGTTGCTTCCTCCTTTTGGCAATTAAAAATTAAGCTGTTACTAGCAAGGTTGTATAGGTATCTCTTTCATGTATCTACTTTCAGTTCTTTTGGCTATATCAAGAAGAAATGGAATTGCTGGGTCATACTGCACTGCCTTTTTAAAACCTGAAAAATTCTGCATTCCAAAATGCATCTAGCTCCAAAGATTTGGATAAATGAATTGTGGGCCTGTATTAGAATAATTAGGCAAGCATAACTAAAATTTAGCTCATTCTTATGTAGTTATATATGAACTATATTAGAAGAGGCATGTGCATACACTTCCATATGCTTAATATGATATGTGTGGGGCTTGCAGAATTATGTCTTAGATGGGTGTTGTCTTCCCATAACAGCTTCCTAACTAGCTTGTAACCTAATGCCACCACATATGGCTGTGTGATCTTGAGCAAGTTATCTAGGGTTCCTATGCCTCAGTTCTCTTATTTGTAAGAGAGTAATTAATAATAATAATAATAAGTAAATCCATATAGTTTGATGATAGTCTACCCTACAGCATTGTCAGGAGGATCCAATATATTAATATCTACAAGACACTTAGAACAGTGCCTGCTTGCACATAGGAAATACTAGATATCTATTTGTTACATAAATAAATAAGATGATTAAGTACACTTGAGTGAGTCACTTGTCTGGCTTGTCCAGTTTCCTCTCTGAAGTGAGAGTTTTACACTAGAGGGCATATAATAGTTCTAACACTGTGAAAGTCTATACTTCTTTCTACAGATCTACGATTTTTCTACAGTTGTCTTGATTTGGCCCATAGTGCTCCTATGTCAGCTAAGAGAAAATGTCAGATAATTCTGGTCATGAAAGGGAGAGAACTGTTTCCCCAGGTAGGACCAGTCAGCTGCCTGCTGCTTTCCCCAGGGACCAACGTCTGCAGGGAGAGATTTGTATCTGCTGCGGCCACTTTTAAACGGGAGCTACATCTGCGCTGGGACAAAGGTGTCCCTCTGCCTCTCCTCCCTGGTCTGCAAGTTACCACCCACCTGCCCACCAGGGAGAAGGCTCACTGAACTCACCACGTGCAGCCTGGGCAGCGAGGATGAGGAAGGGGAGGGCAGCTATGGAGGTCTTCATCTTCCTGGTGCACAGACGGTGGACCAGCCTGAGGACTCCGGGCTCTCTCCGACTTCCCTGGATCTCAGCTCTGCCCTTGTATTTATAGAAAGAGGAGGAGCGGGAAGTCACAGGGCAGAGATCAGAACACTTTCCTGGGTTGTATAATAGATAACACGCTGTTTCTAAATAAAGGGAAGGAGGCTGAGAAGGCAACAGGAAGAAGGGGCGAGGATGACATGAGGCTTCCCCAACTGCCCACTGGGCACAGGCAAAGGGAGGAACCAGTTTATGAAGGATCCTTCTTCTAGGAGGGTCACTGAATCCTCTCATCAGAATGTTTTCCTTGGGAGTTCTGTTATCAGGGCGTTGTCACCCTGATATCAAACAGCCTGTGATCAGGGTGTTCTAATATGTGAACCGTGTCATGTGACTCCTCACATAGAATCTTGACCCTTGCCTCCTCTGTTTGTTTCACCTCCACATCCAATTAATTAACAAATACTGGGGTGGGTCTACTTTCAAAAATGTGTCCAGAACCTTATTATTCCTCACCACATCCTCTCTCTCCACCTGGTCCAATCCACTCTTGTCTCTCACCAGGATTTTTGCGGGAAACCTCCTAATGTGTCTCTTTCTTCTGCCCTTGCCCCTTTTTAGTTCATTCTAGACATTGCCACATGGGTGATCCTGTTAAAATATAAATCAGCCAAGTCAATCCTATTTAAAACCCACTGATGAAAAAAAAAAAAAAAACAACCCACTGATGGCTTTTTAATCCTCCATCCCAACCTAGTATAAAGCCCAATCCTTCTCCTAACCTACAAGCTCCTATGTGATCTGGTCCCTGTTCATGCTCTGTTTCAGGTCCTATTACTCTTCCCCTTACTCATTTTGCTTTGGTTATGCAGGCTGGCTCAGAGATTTCTGTTCCTGCTTCCTACATTACTCTTCCCTTCCATAAGTTTTTTGGGAGAAAATTTTACTTTCTCCCTAACCTCCTTCAACTCCTCATTCAAATGTTGTTTTTCTTGTTAATCTTACTGGGACTCTCTATCTGAAACTATGACCTCCCTCCGCCCAAATTTGCCTTGATTTTTCTCCTGTGTAGTTGTATGTAAAATACTACATGGGCTTCCCAGGTGGTTCAGCAGTAAAGAATCCACTTGTCAATGCAGGAGACGTGGCTTTGATCTCTGGGTGGAAAGACCCCCTGGAGAAGGAAATAGCAACCCACTCCATTATTCTTGCCTTGGAAATCCCAAGGACAGAGGAGCCTGGTGGGCTACAGTCCATGGGATAGCAAAGACTTGGACAGGACTTAGAGAGTTCAACAACAACAACATGCAACTTGCATTGTATTCTTACTGGACAGCCCTGCTCTAGATGGTTCCCCATCCCTTTGGGTCATTTCTTGCTTTTTATATCTTCCCAGGCATGCCCCAGCCCTCATAAAGCAGAGACAGGCCATCTGGGCTGTGCCCTGTGTGAATTTCTGAAGGGTAGAATTTGTGAGTAGAATACATCTGTTGTCACTTTATACTACTAAGCTTCAAGTGGTTTGTGACACAGCAATGTGTTAAACTGTGGTGAGAGCAAGACTACATTGGCCAGGGGTGGATTTCAAATATTAATTTATTTTATTATTGGAGTATATTTGCTTTACAAAATGATGTTAGTTTCTGCTGTAATCAGCTATAGATATGCATATATTCCCTCCCTTTTAATCCCCCCTCCCATTCCCCACCCTACCCCTCTAGGCCATCAATTACAGAGCCCTGAGCCGAGCTCCCTGTGTTACACAGCAGTTTCTCACTAGCTATCTGTTTTATGCATGGTGATGTATATACATCAGTGCCACTCTCCCAGTTTGTCCACCTTCTCCTTCCCGCCTGTGTCCACATGATTCTCTATATCTGTGTCTCTATTCGTTCCCTGCAGATAGGGAACTGTACCATTTTTCTAGATTCCGTATATACAAGCATTAATTTATTCACACTTCTAGTTTGCTCATGAGTGTCTGTTATGTTCTTTCACCTATTCCATGCCTCAGAACCAGAGTAGCCCCGTGGGAAGTTAGTTATGAGGTAAGACACTTGCATGAAGCTTATGTTAATGCAAGGAAAGCAGTGACTGAGCAGTGGCCGAGGTAAGGGGTGAGGTTGCAAGGATGTGATGTAATCCACAATACAGTCCACCCCTTGCTTCCCTCCAAGGTGTTTGTGCCTTTATTATGTCTAATCCATCACAGAGCTTGCTTCAAGCTGGTTGTATTAATCTATGGGGTTGCAAAGAGTTGGACATGACTGAGTGACTGAGCGCACACACACACACACACACACACGCACGCACGCACGCATGCACACACACATGCACATGCATGCACACACACACACACGTTCTTTCAGGTTCAGTAGAACCCGTAGATGTGCACTCATACCAGTTCACCTCCAACTCTCCCATCTCCCCAGAAATCCAGCAGAGTCTAATGTTTCAGGGTGGGAATCACAAATAGATGACTGGAAATATGAAGACGGAGCCCATCCCCTTGATTCCTGTGTGTTTTAGCCACCGGGGATGTAGCATTATCTATCATTCTTTGCTTCCATGCATACATTTCGTTCTGGAGAAGTCCCAACCCTGAAGTTTGTTTTGGCTTCAGCTAAATTATTAACCCCTCATCATTCTCTTAGCTGTTTCAGTATATGGTAAACCAAGTGGATCCCATATACCCACTGACTCACACCATTTGTGAGATGGACCCCTTGACCTGAAGCCATCTTGTGCACATACCATACTGAGTGATCAGACATTCTCTAAGTCCTTGAACCACTAGACTGGCAAAGGTACTGCTGGTAGTGGAAAACCCCACATTGGGAATAAGTGTCAGTCCTACTAAGGTTGGCTTGTTCTCCCTTGCAGGTTGGCAGACATCCAAGACAATGAACATGCCACTGCATGGCTGTGTTTTCTCCTTGGAGGCGGGTGCCATGTTGAGACTTGATGTCTACCTCTGCTGGAAGGTTATTCATTCAACAGCAGCCATAGTTAAATGGGACTTGATGAGACAAGGCCCACACTGTTTGGCCCATGCATAACCTCTATCCTTGCCACCACAGCCAAGGGCTTGTTGCAATAGCTCTGCTGTGACTGCGGGAAGAGGCTGGCTGACTTCCACGGGTCAAGTCATTCTATCCATGTACTCGCTGACTTTCTCCTTTGCTATGGATACTCCCCAGTGACTTCCAAGTCTCTTCCAAGTCTCATGAGTCCTTGTCCAATACCTCCAGGTTGCAGCATCTCGGTCCCGAGTACCAAGTAGTTTCCTGCAGGTTCTCTGTCTCAGCATCGGGGAGTCCCTGAGTCAAGAAAGGAATGGCATGCATGATGAGATGAAGGGTGTGGAAGGTGAGATGTGGCCAGACTGCCCCTCCATGGAGCTGGGCAAGGTCTCTACAGGACTGGTGGCTGTAGTGGAGGCCAGAGGAAGCGATGGGGCTGATGGGTGGGAAGTAGTATAAGAAGTGTCTGATGCAGCACTGGATGCGTATCTGTTCAGCAAAAGGAAGCAATGAAGACACACTCCGATTTCACAATATAGTGCTGTTTCTTTTTTAAAAAATTTATTTATTTTTAATTGAGTGGTTTTTGTGTACTTCCTGAGTCTTTTATGGATTTTCCTTTCCTATGCCACCAAGCATCATTGTTGACATTGAAGAATCACATCAACTCTATTTGTTACTTAGCTTGGCATGGTTGAGGGAGCAGGCTGTGCTCCTTGTAAGCTGATCCAACCTCAGGGGTCTTCCGGGGTTGATGATAACAACAGCTGGTGCTTTCTGAGAACTTACTACACTCCAAAACCTCTTTATGGGTACTTCCTTTGAGACGAGATGTTTACTACATGAAGCGCTTACTATAACTATTTCACAATACTGCCTAGCACACCCAGCAGCTTCTTCCCTTGCAGAAATACCAAATACCCTGTCATTTCTGTCTGTAAACACTGATCTTGCCACATCCCGGGACGTAGGCTTGCATAACCTGTTTGTCTAGAATAAGCTGAGCTGCCCTGTACTATTACAGTGTCAGCATATTTGAGCTAAGATGGCCCACCTGCTTTCTCAGACCTGCACTTGGCCTATGGCAATTATCTGCTGTTACTCTCAACTCCCCCATCACTCCTTTTTCATCACTCTTGTGTTATGTGTCTGTATCCTGGGCAGGTCTTGAAATCTTAGGATGGTGTTCCATGCCCAGATGCACTGGTCCCTTTTCAGGAGAGAGGCCTGAAGAGGTTTCTCCCTGCACTGCTTGCTGTTCCTTTCTTGTTGCTGTTAGGTGCTAAGTCATGTCCGATTCTTTGTGACCCCATGGATTGCAGCATGCCAGGCTTCCCTGTCCTTCACTATCTCCTGGAGTTTGCTCAAACTCATGTCCATTGAGTCAATGATGCTATCCAACCATCTCATTCTTTGTCCCCCTCTTCTCCTCCTGCCCTCAGCCTTTCCCAGCATCAGGGTCTTTTCCAATGAGTCGGCTCTTCGTATCAGGTGGCCAAACTGTTGGAGCTTCAATTTCAGCATCAGTCCTTCCAATGAGTATTCGAGGTTGATTTCCTTTAGGATTGACTGGTTTGGTCTCCTTGCTCTCCAAGGGATTCTTAAGAGTCTTCTCCAACACCAGAGTTCCTTTAGTTTCCAAGTGAAGTCATCCCGGGTGTCTGGCCTCCTCTGATGGCTGTGTGTGGTGAGTAAGGAAGGTACCTTGAATTGAAGTTAAGTACCTTGAGTCCCACGCTGCACACTGCATCAGGAAAGGCATTCTAGTCTTTGCAATCTTTCAACCCCTTCAGGGCCACAGAAGAGAGGCCTTGGGGCTGTAACACTTCTTTCCCCAGAGATAAAGTGCTCCAGAGCTGTGCTGGGCTGATTGCTTTGTGTAGGATTATCTTACTCTGTTATGGACTCAGCATATGCTCCTTTGTTTTGCTTAAGCTTGTAATGACATAGGGCACCAGG